TTCGCCCTCGTATCGAACACTATTTTTTATTCGAATGAAAGATTACACGAATAATAAAATGCATCGATTTCATATTTAAAATTTTGTGGCAATGTCAATTTTTAATTAAGTTTATAATTAAGTTTAAGTACTTTTTCAACTTGAAACACCTGTGGTCTTGGGATGGTGTATGCATGTTGCATACTCTGCATGACATTTGCGCTTCTTAAAAAGATCGTGTTTTACGTGTGACAACATCGCAAAAGTAGATAAGTAGGCCATTAAAACGATTATGAGACTGAACTTGTAACAAAGGTATAATTTACAAATTGTAAGTAAACTTGAAAATAGGATCAATAGTTGTTGATAAACCTACGTAATTACTTAAAAAAGCATTTCGGTTATTTTTAAATAAAAATACTAAAAAATATATAATGACAGTGGCAAGTTCAAAGTGTCACATTTACTTTGTCGCACACTGTGCGGCAAAGTCCGTGCGTAAAAGTAAAACAAATGAACGCTAAAGAAAAGTGCTTCTTTTTTATCATTGCTTCTGTTCGCAAAATTGCACTTTGTGATTCATTCGAATAAAAACTACTTTTTTGCTCTATAGGTTTCGAAATATTGTCAGTTTAGTGTTTTCAAATGGCTATTTTGCAGCATCTTATTTTAAATGCAGTTACTCTGAGTTGCCACGACGAAAATGAATTTGAATTTGAATTTAGAGTCTCCCAAAAATCCTCCAAAAATTGACTTTGTGCATCCGTGAATTTCAACAAAAATCAGCGAATTTATTAAATAAATTTGAAATTGGGCGGGAAAAAACACCCTGTATGTGGCTAAATTCTGTCATTTTGACATTTACTCTATGACACCTCAAATCTGGTTCTAACCGAAACCCATCTAAAACGTGAAGAAAATCCCGAAGCGGAATTTTTGGTGCTTCCGATGGCAGACGGCGAGACCCGAAGAATGTATAGCAAGTGGGGGAAATTATTCAATTTAGTCTTAGTCTGTTACTGGCCTTTCCTTACTTATTTGCCACAATAAAACCGGGAAAGAACAAAAACATCCCCTTCTTTCGTTTTATCAGTCTCCGATTTTTTGCTCGATTTGCTCCTATAAATTTAGAATTTCACATTTTCGGCTTTTCCATCAACCATCAACAGGAGACTTGCAAACACCAGCATTAGATGCAGCTCGAGAAGCCCGGCATTTTATAAAGAATTACATTTTTCGTTAACAGTTTTGCTAAAGAGAATTTTCAAAAAATCGGTACAAGTGTCAAGTCGCCATTTTAAATCAGACGCTAATCGATAGAAGTGCGATAACTTCCTCCCTAGTCACTAGTTTCATACAGGCTGTGACCTGTCAGTTCATAGGTGTCATGACCAAAACTCCAGCAAACTCGAACATCTAGCGTACCTGTTCAGCTTTAGCCAATCTGATCCACAGTTTCCTCCAAGTGGAGAATTTCTTCTGATCGCTGAAATTATACTGCATTTCCTTGCTCGCATATCGAGTACTTAAGGGCGACCGATAATTCGCGAATGGGCTGCTGTAATCTATAGGCTCCGCGTCTGATGCCATGCTGACCTGTTCAATTAATTCGACCTACTTTACCACACTACTTATGCAAAAGACTGGCTTGTCTCTGACTTTACACAAACTAACAGGGAAACTGAGGCAGAAAATGCTGCAAGCCCGACCAATCTTTATAACCTCACTCTCAGGACGTAATTGGGCCATCAGATCGCGTCGCGCAACTATCGATATCAACCGGACAGAACCGGATCTGGTTAGTTGAAATTAACTTTTAAATATTTCGCGGGTTTTTCTATTGAAGATTTTTTCTTTTCAAATTAGAGAAAAATCAATGACCTTCAAAAAGTGCATTAATCCAAACTAATGCCATCAAGGGGTTCGACAAGGTTCGAAAATTTCGCTAAAAGGGCCGTGCACGTACTAAATGTACGCCAGCAGGTGGTTCCAGGTTCCACCAATGAAATTCACTATACAAGTGCGCAGTGGAAGAAGCAGTTAGGAGACGCACATGCAACTATTATTTACCTATAACTCCAATTTTTTCTCATTTTTTACTTGATGGATTTTGCATTTTAGGCACTAAAAAAATCAACTTTCAAACACTTTGCATGTAAAACAGTTTAAAATGTACCTACACACCTACATCCCCTAAAGCCTTTAAGAATTTCAAGACACTTGACTTGGAGAGCCGGAAATGCACCAGAATCAGAGCCCCTCTGAACTTCCTCCAATTCTCCAAATTGAGTATTACGATCCTGTTCAGTTTGAACAATACAGACCTTTTTGTTTTTGCTTCATAAAGATTGATAAACTTTTGGCCTCAAATGCATTACGAAAGAGCATGTTTGCTATGCCTTAAACGGTATTAAGCAAGCTTTTTGTAACCGAATAACAAAGCAAGCACGCATAAGCTTTGCAAATTTATTGCTTAAAACGCAAGTTTCCTCGTCAAGAGAGAAATATGAAAGGAAAACAGCAAGAGAAATTCCAGACAATTTTCAAAGTTGAACGGAATCGCCTCCGGAGTTGTCACTACATTCCTTTGTTTGAGTTTATGATAACAATTAAATTTGTGCCTCCTCATAAATTGATAATCTTGTTTGACTCACACTATACAAGCATTAATCTTATCAGTAGATATTTACCAATTATTACACTTATCTCTGTTTCACCTCAATCTAGACGTTCGCAGGTGCTTCCATCTGAACAAAATTCCCTTTTCATTGCTTTGAAATTTCCAACTTTCGCTCACTTTAGTGCCGCTGGTTTGTCAAAATGGCCTTAGAGACGATAGCCTCTATTATAGTTAAACTAGTGAAGCTGGTAAGTGCTCGTTTACGTTATCTCCTAAGCTTCAAGCATTTGATCAATTGGGTGTGGAGTAAGTTTGGTGCTGGCACACGATAATGCTCATATTATTCACGTTGTTGATGAAAACTTAGCTAGGGAAGTTTTAGTTAAGCTAATTTGTCCTTCACTAGGTATTGAACTTTATCATCCTGGTTCTCTATCGCGTGGGCTTCGCTGGCGACTTCTTGGGAGTCGGAGGAACATGGAACTTGTTCGAGGAGAAGAGCTCAGACGTGGAAATTATCGCCTCAGGAGTCTTTGTGGGGTATTTCGTCTACACCGCAGTGTCCCTGATCAGTCTCTGCCTTGCCAGCAGCGAAAATAAAAAGTAAGAGACTTTCCGCAAAAATACAGGATGATTCAAAATCGGCGCAAACAATATTTGGGTTGTTGGCCAATGAACTGGTGAAATGGCAAAGTCGAAAGTGAATCTTCAAGAAATAAACTAACGTGTTCTGTCTCTATCAAATCAAAAGTGTCCAGATGAATCCCGATTTTGAATCATTTTGTCTACAGGGTGAGCGACTTGGTTTTGAGTCTCCCAAAATAATCGGCGCCAATTTTCGATCATCAAAAGTGAACGCAATTGTGTATAAACTTCGTAAACTAGCAAAGTTCATGTGTTGAAAACATCCGGCATTCAAATTAAAATGTTTTTTTATTTTTTAGGGAAAACGTACGTTTTCCTTATACAAACGTTCCGCAAATATCCCCGATGTCCGCTTAAAAATCTTCTAGTTCTAGTGCAAATGTGTAAAATTTTGCATTTGAGCACTTTTCAGTGTGTTACAAAACTGTCCTTATGTTTTTCAACTTTATGCAGGGTTTTCAGACTTAACTTTTATGTTAAAATTTTAAAGAAATACATGCAAAATAGACCAATCAGCAAAGAGACTCTGAAGCTGCAATGCAATTGTTTGTATTGCATTTTTCGCCATCTTTTGCCTAAAAAAACGGTTCTTGGAGTCACTTTTTATATTTCCGTTCTATTGCCTGTACAAATCGAGTTGGGGCGAAAAACAATATTTTTGCGCGACACTCGAAAACTCATCAGTTTCAAGGAATAATCGCGATATTCTCACTCTTAATCATCTATTTTCAAATCTCCTGAGTGATATCTCAATAAATTACGACCGAATCAACCTTTTTATATTTGCCCTATTTATCATCACCTAATTCTGGGAATCCTTATCAGAATTAACCATTTTCAGGTGTTTTTGCTAAATAGAATAGAGGCAAAACCCCTCCTTTGAACCGATTGGCACATTTTTTAACCGACTCTTGCTACTGATACAAACATCTCCCTCCAACATGGTGCAACATTCCACATAAATTCAATGATAAATTGATCCAATAAATGATTCATTTACTATTAAACCTCATGACGCCGCCCTCAACTAAATACGATCGCATTTTCCTAAGCCTAACACAAAGCCTGCTATCTTATCTCCTTTATCCTAATTAGTGCTTATCATTACTTCATGTAGCAGTTCGTATCTGGCAGGTGTGTGAACGTTCTTATTTTCATTTTTCGATCAATTTTGCTGGTTCTGTTTCTGAAACTTTGTGAAAAACGCGCCCTGAAGATGACCAGTGTAGAAACGGTGGGAACTGTTGTGCTGAAGTTTCTGAAACTCGTAAGTTGGACCCGATGGATGCGATGCTGCCAGTGACTGGTTTGTTCGGTTGGGCGTTTACTTACTTATTCATTGATAAGGAGATTGTGACATGCTTAGTGGGTTAAATCAGGACTTTTGGATGAAGAGCCATGGATGCTAAGCATGTTTCGATCAACTTCTCATAAACGCCATCGAACGAAGCTGCAGCATGGAGATTTGTTTAAAAAAAATTCGGACCTCTTTTCCAGGCGATAAACATAATTTGCTTGTACCTCTACCGGACGGGTAGCGATGGAACATTCTTAGGGGTTGGAGGCACCTGGAACATGGCGGAAAACAAGAACGCGGATGCGGAAATATTCGCTTCCGGCATTTTTATCGGTTATTTCATTTACACGTTCATTTCCCTGGTGGCTTTGTGTTTTGCGGCAGGAGATCACAAAAAGTAGGACTGGGCGCCTCCAAAACTATCCTCACTCATTCGTTTCTTTTTCCCCTGTTTTAGCACTTTCACGGATATTTTGATGAACATTGTCGGAGTATTTCTTTGGATCGCTGTGGGAGCCACAGCTTTGCACTACTGGCATGGTTATCTTAGTGAGCACAAGTACACTTATGTGAACTCAGAAAGACAGGTAAGAATTGAAAGGAGAAAAAAGGAAGCAGAAACATTAATTCAATGGAACTAGTGGGTTTTTCGGGTTTTTAGGCCGTCGTAAAATAGAATGTATTCCTGACGTTTCGCAAGCACGAGTGGCTTGCATCTTCAGAAGTGGTTTGCTTGAACGCTTACACTGTTCTCATCAGAACCCGTTC